CCACTCATCATACACCACTCATCATACACCACTCATCATACACCACTCATCATACACCACTCATCATACACCACTTATCATACACCACTTATCATACACCACTCATCATACACCACTTATCATACACCACTCATCATACACCACTTATCATACACCACTCATCATACACCACTCATCATAACCACTCATCATACACCACTCATCACACACCACTTATCTTACACCACTTATCATACACCACTTATCATGCACCGCTCATCATCCAGTTAGCTCTAGTTTCAAGAGCTCTAGCTCCAGTTAGCTCTAGTTTCAAGAGCTCTAGCTCCAGTCTAGTTTCAAGAGCTCTAGCTCCAGGTGGCTCTAGTTTCAATAGCTCTAGCTCCAGTTGGCTCTAGTTTGAAGAGCTCTAGCCCAAGTTAGCTCTAGTTTCAAGTTTCAATAGCTCTTGCTCCAGTTAGCTCCGCTCTGGTTCCAGTTTACGTGGCAGGCGCAGCACTTTGAACCTCCATGTGCAGAATTTGTGGCAGGTGCAGCACTTTGTGAACCTCGAGGTGCAGATTTCGTGGCAGGCACAGCACTTTTTGAACCTCCATGTGCAGATTTCGTGCCAGGCGCAATGCAAAATGCGTTCTCGAGAGATAGCGGACGCACGAAATGCTGCTTTTCCCGAATGCGTAGCGAAGGGTTTTCGTTTAACTCTGGGGGTCTGGGGGTAGAGTCTTGTTCGCGACCCGTTGCTTCTATGTTCGCAACCGTCCGCAACCGTCCGCAACCGTTCGCAACCGTTCGCAACCGTTCGCAGTAGGACGCTAAGGCGCTGCCATTGGGGGAAGCTTTTGTAAGTGACTTTTCATGGATGTGTCACGTGTCAGTTTGCGACGCTATTCCATTGTGATTTGCATGAAAATGACATGTCGCGCAAGAAGCGTGATGCATTTCGCTGCACAGGCGCAGTGGTTTGAGAGATCCGCAGTTTACTGCGCAGTTCCATTGGGATTAGCGTTTGGAGAGTCGTGTTTTTGGGGTGTTGGATGTGGCCGTGCCATTGGGATTGGCGTTGGAGGGTGTGGCATCGAAGCTCGGTTTTCGTGACAAGTCTCAGCTGAAATGGCGATTTTGGTGGATGGGAGTGTGCTCAGAACGGGTCGAAATCATTCTAAACGTGTGGTGTGGTGCAAATTTTGTTGAAGCTCACGTGAGATGATCTTCTCACTTTTCGTGGCAGGCACAGTACTTTGTGCTGATTTTGAGGTGTGGAAGTGCGATTCTCATGGCAGGCGCAGTACTTTGTGCGCGTTAGACGTGTGGATGCGGAAAGATTCGTGGCAGGGGCAGGGAATCGTGAGGTCGTGAGTTGTGGTAGAGGTGAATGTCGCTGTCACATTGGGATTGGCGTGTGAGGGGGTATTGTTTGGAGGGGCTGGACTCGCGAAACTGCTTGGCAGGGCTGCGTGATGTGTGTGCTCCGATGGGTGTTTCCGCTTGACTTTTGGAGGAAGTCTCGTACGAAATCCTCGTTTTGCAGACTTTGACATGTGAGTTTTGGAGGAAGTCTCGTACGAAACGCTCGTTTTGGAGACTTGACACGTGACTTTTGGAGGAAGTCTCGTACAAAACGCTCGTTTTGGAGACTTGACGTGTGACTTTTGGAGGAAGTCTCGTACGAAGCGCTCGTTTTGGAGACTTGACGCGTGACTTTTGGAGAAAGTCTCGAACGAAACGCTCGTCTTGCGCAGCCTCGAAGCGTGACTTTTGGAGGACGTCTCGTACGAAACGCTCGCAGGAGTGCTTCTAGTGTGCCACAAGAATGTCTCACAAGAGTGTCCTACAAGGGTGTCCCACAGCCACAAGAGTGTCCCACAAGAGTGGTCCTACAAGAGTGTCCCAGAAGAGTGTCCTACAAGAGTGTCCTATAAGAGTGTCCCACAAGAGTGTCCTACAAGAGTGTCCCATACGAGTTTCCTACAAGAGTGTCCCACAAGAGTGTCCCACAAGAGTGTCCCACAAGAGTGTCCCACAAGAGTGTCCCACAAGAGTGTCCCACAAGAGTGTCCCACAAGAGCGTCCCACAAGAGTGTCCTACAAGTGTGTCCTACAAGAGTGTCCCACAAGAGTGTCCCACAAGAGTGTCCTATAAGAGTGTCCCACAAGAGTGTCCTACAAGAGTGTCCCACAAAGAGTTTCCTACAAGAGTGTCCAACAAGAGTGTCCCACAAGAGTTTCCTACAAGAGTGTCACACCAGAGTGTCCCACAAGAGTGTCCCACAAAATTGTCCCACAAGAGTGTCCTACAAGAATGTCCTACAAGAGTGTCCCACAAGAGTGCCCCACAAGAGTGTCCTGCAAGAGTGTCTCACAAGAGTGTCCCACAAGAATGTCCGACAAGAGTGTCCCATAAGAGTGACCCACAAGAGTGTCCTATAAGAGTGTCCCACAAGAATGTCCGGCAAGAGTGTCCTACAAGAGTGTCCCATGTCCCACAAGAGTTTCCTACAAGACTGTCACAAGAGTGTCCCACAAGAGTGTCCTACAAGAGTATCCCACAAGAGTGTCCTACAAGAGTGTCCCACAAGAGTTTCCTACAAGAGTGTCACACAAGAGTGTCCCACAAGAGTGTCCTACAAGAGTATCCCACAAGAGTATCCCACAAGAGTGTCCCACAAGAGTGTCCTACAAGAGTGTCCCACAAGAGTGTCCCACAAGAGTATCCCACAAGAGTTTCCTACAAGAGTGTCCCACAAGTGCCACAAGGAGTGTCCTACAAGAGTGTCGTGTAAGAGTGACCCACAAG